CTCTGTTCCTCCCCAGCGAAGAGGGGCAGATCATCCGCATTGCTGGCATCTCAGCTTGCAGGGCTGGTCATTAGCCTTTTGTGTCCAGTTAGCCACCTTTCATCTCCTCCACCTGCTGGTGTCTGCTTTCCCTTATTAGCATCCCTCAGCTCTTTGCTGCGCCCTCCGCCAGCTTTGTGGCCAGCTCCACTTGTTTGTCAGAGATGATGGCTGAGGGACACACACACACAAGGGAGGGCGGGTTCCGGCCAGAATCACTCACATTTTCCATACTAGGTGCCAGACATCTCTCTCCTCTCCCCACCCAGAGGCAGCCAGGTCTAGGTCACCTGGCTGAGAGGCAGACAGCTGATAGCTAGAACTCTAAATTTGGGGCCTTTGGAACTGTGGTGTTGCCTTTCAGTTCCCCTCTGCGCATGAGACAAAAGCTGGTTCCCACTGGCAATTTTGATGCCCAGGTGAAAAAGCCTACTCATCGATTCCTCTCCAGAAGCTTGACCCAGCCCACAGTTCTCTGCTCCAAGACCACCTGTGTTGCTGAGTCATCCAAATGTCCCATCCCAGACAGTCCTGCTTGTCATCACCCATTCAATACTGTAGCCACAAGTATGTTTAAATTCTATTAAATTTATCTTTATATTATACTTAATCATGTAGAGGTTTATGTAGATGAAATTTAACATTTGGCCACACTTCAGATGCTCAGTAGACACATGTGACTAGTGACTGTTGTATCATACGGCACAGAGAACATTTTTATGACTGTAGAACATTCTATTGAACAGTGCTGATCTCTATAGCCACAAATTCCAGTCTGTGGCCATTCAGACTCCATCTCACGGACTGCTTCTTCCTCTTGGAGCAACCTGAAGCTCCCTTGACCTTCCAAAGGAGTCTGTGTGAGTTCCCAAAGTGTTGGGACCTATTGGGATTGGTGGCTACCTGGCTAAGGATGCCTCTGCAGAGACCGGGTGCCTGCTATTTCTACACGGTGGAGTGTGCAAGACAGGGATGTTCTTGGGGTGTGTGATTGACAGGACTTCATCCTATTTGTAGAGGAAGGAACTTGGTACCGTTAGTTACATCCAAGCCATCAACCTGGGCAGCACAGTGTGACAGGCGGATGCAGAGAACAGTGCTGGCAGAGGGAGAAACGTATCAGGCTGGGAGAACTGCAGCTGCAGATAGATTCTTGCAGACCCGCCTGGCCCTGGGATGAGGGTGGGAAATGCTTCTTGGAGCCTCCATGTGTTTCCTTCTGACCCTTTTGGAGATGAGCCCTCGCTGAAGATGAGAAAGAGAAGGACTCTTTTTTTTCTTTCCTGCAGTTCAGAGAGATGGGGCACTTTGCACTTGGAGGTTTAAGCAGAAGCAATTTCTTTTGGGAAAAGGAGTGGTTCTGTATTCTCTACCAGTACCTGAAGGCAAACTGCATGCCGGGCTGGGCTGGCCTGCCATCTTAACCCCACCTGCCATGTGCTTGGCAAGTCTAGCTTGAGTTCTTTTTTCCACTGCCTTCCCCACCCCATCAAATTTCAGTTGCAGCCTCTCATTTTTCTTCTGCCTGATGATTAAAAAGCATGACTTAGTGGAAAAATGTTGACCTCCTTGGGGTCAGCCTCTTAAGCAGCTGTTGGAGATAAGATTGTGCTAGCAAAAGACTCCACAACATTTTGCAGGGTTTTCTGTCTGTCTGCAGGGAAACCATAAGGCTGTTTGTTCCTGGGTGCATGTTGTTTATTTTTGAAGAAAACTAAAATTTTCAGAGGCATAAATTGGTATAATCTGATACTAAAATAACATATCTGATGGAAGGGTTAGGATAATTATTATAGTGATTTTTGAAAAGTACAATTAATAAGCTTTATCCAAAAATTGTTTTTAAAAAGTAGCTTCTGCTGTAAGCAATTCAGGGAGCAAAGTTCTTCGGCAACTAAGCAGTCTTAAAAGTTCAGGGCTCAGACTTCCCCCAAAGACTTCAAAGACTTAATTGTAGAACTCTTGGTAGGAAAGGCATTGTTTGGGGTTATTTTAATTACTGTGTTAGTATTACTGCTTCTTGCTTGGAGATTGGATACTTACTGGAGTCCTGCTGAACCTGCTCCAAAGAAGACATTTTGATTTGAATTTTACTTATGTTCTCAAGCACTCTATCCTCTCTATTTATCAAGCACTTGTACCCATCAAGAGGAGAAAATGAAGTAGGGGTGGTTGAAGAATGATGGGGTCATATAATGGATGTCAAGGATATAGTGAGGATCTTGGTTCTGTGGTTGATCCAGCATCCTCAAATGAAGGCTTCATTGAACTCTTATAGATGTTTGGGTCCAGCGCAGCCACTTGTAGGAAAGCGGCCTTGTGCAAGGGACAGACCTGCTGTGTGCTTTGGCTTCCTGATTGATAAGACAGGGATCCCACCACTACATGCCTCATACAGTTATTATGACCACTGAGATTCTGCTTGGCACAAGTCTCATCCATTGTTGTCCACACTTTTGCACCCATCCCCCTTATTCGAAGGAGAGACCTAGTCCTAGGCTGTAATGAAATTAGGTACTTCCCTTTTTTACAGTCTTCCTGCTTCTCCTGGCATGAACTTGCCTTTTGTCTCTTTCCCTCTTCTTTGGGCGATCATAATTGAAATCAGGATTTCATTTCTCCCAGCTAGGTCACAGGGAGGCTCAGGCTTCGGCTCGGGGTCTAGGGTAGAGAGAGGGGTCAGGGGCTGTGCAGGGCTAGGTGACCGTCTTTTCTTGATAGCTCATGGCTTTGTCTCAGGTCCTGAAGGCTTAGGACAAGTATGTCGCCCCAAAGCTCATCCTGGTGCCTGACTCCAGCAGCTGACTGGGCGTTGGAGACCCAGAGCCCTGCTGACCCTTCCTGATCAGTTTCCTACCTGTGAATCAAAGATGTGGCCCTCGTGGCATCCTGCCCCATTTTTCAAAAGGCGTAAGCACAGCAAAACAGCAGGCGAAGGTTGGCATCCCGATCCAGAAACTAGGGCAGTGACGGCGAACCTTTTAGAGCTTTCAGTAATAACAAACCACCCGCTGCAGCGTGCTTTAGTTTCGCCACCACTAGTTCAGGGTCTTAGTGCACCCAGGGTGGCGGTGGCCTCAGTAAGGAGATGTCTAAAAGAGCTCTGTGAACTGTAGTATCTTTTCCACTCACTGGGGTTCTGCTGTCTCACTCTCAGAGCTTAAAGTGGGAAGGCACTTTGTGTTGTCACTCGCTACAAAGAGGGGCTCAGCTCCAATGGAGAAGTGAGGGAAGCCCAAAAGAGCTTACTTGACCGTCTCCCTGCCTGGCACCTTCCAGTTTGTGTGAGTGGTGCAGCCCAGAGGCAAAATTTCAGGTTAGCCACACAGCAGAAGAAAGTGCAGAATTCGGTCAGTTTCCCTAGGCCCCCTTTGACAGGCCCCGGCCTGGCCCCTCCTCTGACTTGTTTTCCTTCTGGCTGCTATTATGATACTTTTTATGAGCCCTGTTAAGTCTTTAATGAGGCCTGGTCGTGCAGCTGGCTTAAGGCTTAATCCCTAGCAATAGGCCTTTATTGGATAAATGGTTAATAATCACTGGTCTGCAGGGATTGAGGAGGCTTCTTGAAGCCCGTGATTCCCAGAAGCCCCGCGTGGCCTGTGACGTGATCAGAGTGTGACCTGACATGGGGCTGGGGTACAGTAAGATATGTGCCCTAGGAGTTCCACAGAAGCTCGGAGGGCCTGAGCATGTCTCTGCCTCTGGGGAGAGGAGACCTGTCTACTGTCAGAGCCTGTCTCCATCCAGGCAGGAGCAGGCAGCTTCCAGGGATCTTTTTAATTGAGTGTCTCCACTCACTCCAGATGTCCTTTTGCCGTGAACAAGCTAAGTGACCTTGAATGAGTCTTCTGACCCCTCTGATCTTGCGCTTCTTATCTATCACAAGGAGAGGTGGGAGGAGATGGGCTCAGAGGTGCCAAAGTGTTTGCGATTTGGTGAGCCCTGGCGTCCTGAACCAAGGCTCCTTTCTGGATCCCAGGTGTGTCACTAAGGGCTGTGAATGGCAAGGGACCAGCAGCCTAGTGGATTAAATACTTAAGCTGCTGGGAAGAGAATTGGGTCAGCTGTAGTCACAGGTCAGTGTGTGCAAAGGGAATCCAGGGAGCCAGACTTGGCCCTTGATTTTATATCCTGGCCTGGGGTTTCTGCCAGCTCTGCGAGGGACACACAGTAGGCTTTAAAACACAGAGCCTCGTGTGCGACTCTGGAAAGAGGAGTAGACTTCCCAGGTGTAAAGCTGGCAAGAAGCCATGAGCTGCTAGCAGGGAAAAGGGAGAGCTCTCTGGATTTTGTTCCCAGTGTCCGTGTGACTGGGGGCCTGCCCTCAAGCTGGATTTGGCTTTGACTTGATGGTTGCAATAGGATCGAGACCCATCCCCTTGAGGGTAGGATGGTATTGGGGCATGAGCAAGGGAGCTGGACAGACCTGGGTTTGAGATTCTTTCATTTCCGGGTTGTATGGCCTTGAACAACTCACTCGCCCAAGCCTGTGATTCTTTAAGATAGCATGAACACCACCTGTTTTTGACCTGTACTTTTGAAATGACATATGAAATGAACCTGCTTCTAGTAGGTGCTAATAATTACTCTGGCAGAAACTTTCCATTTCGGTACCTGTTGTATGCTTTCTAAAATGCTTACTACAAAAAGACACAGCTTGTTATGACAGCATGATTCTTTTCTCTGGGTGTAAAAACAAAGCACACACACACACAGTTATATCAACCTTTTGGATTCAGTGGGCTTGTCCCGAAACTCTCAGCCACGTCTGGCTGAGGGATAGTTTCTCCCAGAACTTACTCCTCTGGCTCCTGTCATGCGTCCCCCAGTGTCCAGAGGGCATCATGCAGTCCCTAGCAGGTGCCCAGGGCTCTGTGTACCACGTGTGTGTAGAAAGAAGGAACTGAATTCCTCTTTTCACACATGTCCATGACTGGGTGGCTGCTCTGCTTCTCTTTCAGATATTCCCTGACCCATCAGACTTTGACCGCTGCTGCAAGCTGAAGGACCGCCTCCCCTCCATAGTTGTGGAGCCCACAGAGGGGGAGGTGGAAAGCGGGGAGCTCCGATGGCCTCCTGAGGAGTTCTTGGTCCAGGAGGATGAGCAAGACAACTGCGAAGAGACGGTGAAAGAAAAGAAGGAGCAGTAGAGTCCCTGCAGGCTTCCTGAGGTCATGCCAGCCAGCATCTGGACCTGAACTGTGTTTTTCCCATCATGGTGGAAGAAGAGAGTGAGCCCCGATCATTCTGAAAATGTCAAATGAGGCTTCCGTTCTGCATCTGCAAATCACCCGAGTTGGTTTTCTTTTCCTTTCTTGTCTCTTTTTTGAATTCATTGAGCAGTGGAGCCCTCTGACAATTTGCAGAGCCTTCAGAGAAAGGAAGCTGCTCAGAGCCGGGGTGGGGGTATAGGAAAGACGCTGCTTCTGAGATCGGTATCTGGGATCCAGCCGCCAGAGGCAGTGGGCAGTCCAGTGGGCTGAGGGGGATGGGCAGACAAGCAAGGAACATTGGGGGTGGGAAGACAAACCCCAGGCAAAAGAAAAAAAACTTACGTGTTGTTAAGAAAACATTGACCAGAGAACTGTAGCCAGGATGTGTTCAGCATGCGTTCTCTGGTTGCTGGGACATCAGAAACCAACGCTTCATCTCGCGCTCCGTCCCTGTCTCACCCACCAGCAGCTTTTGCTTTGATTTCAGGTGTGTCGGTCTAAGACAGAGAGGGAGGGACAGGGGAGCAGGGGAAACTGGCTGCTTGCAGAGCTGGCTAGAGAGATATTCAGGAAAGGAAAGGAGAGGTCACCCTGTCCTTCCCTCAGACGCTGCCCCCAACTGCAGCAAGCTCAAGGGAACCCCAAAGACCTGAGGTTTTTAAGAAGCAGTGCTTTTAAGCCTTTCTCCTGTTTGCCTGCAGCACTTCAGGGAGTGAGAGGGTAATTCCTGCCCTTGTTGGTACCCCAAACTGATGCTTGGGTATGAAGTTTCCCCTTCTCTGACCCCCCTCCTAGGCTTGTCCTTGGAGTCCCACAGAGCAGAGGGGTGGAGCGGTGGCTTCCCCATGGCTGCCCTTCCATCTCCTCCTGCTACCCTCCGGCAGTGGCCACCCCTGCTGCCAGACAGGCGGGTCCCCAGCCGCTATGGACTGCAGCCCACTTCCCTGGCAGCAGCGCCCACTCTCTTGTTGGGTCTTGGCTTGACTTTCTGGTGGGAGCTGTGGGAAAGCATGCTTCTTGGTGGGGAGGTGCATTCTCATGCAGGTCCCACAGGCTCGCACAGTCCAGGGACTCCCGGGGGTGCCGTGGAGCAGCTACGGGATCCAGTTTGAGATGAGAACCTGCTTCTCCCTACCTTGTTCCTGAACACAGGTGGGAGGGAGGTGTGGGGAGGGAGCACTCTGGCCCCCATCCCACCCCACCTTCCACCTGTTTCCGGCAAGGACAGCAGTTGCCTGAGAAAGTCAGCCTCTGGATTCAGCTTCCTGTCACAGCTCAAAACCTCTGGAGCAGCAGGTTGCAGGAGAGAGTCTTCTGCCATCTCTCTTTCAGAGCAGGACCGTGTGGCCAAGAGGTAGATTTAGAGCCTTCTTTGGGCTACACTCAGCCAAGCAAGGCACCTGCAGTGTTCCCTCAGGTCTCCAGCTAGGGTTGACCCTGGGTTTGGACTTGTGTGTCTTGCGGTGTTTAATACCTCAAGGTCATGTGGCTGTGGATTGCGTTAGGACAGGAGGATGGGGATTGTGTGGGGACTTGGTCCTGGGCTCCGGCAGCCACCGCTACCCCTGCTGTTCCCTCTGCCTGTGTACACACACCGATGGCAATAACTTCTTCTGGCTCCTCCTCACAGAAGCAGGAGGGCCCGTGGCCTGTGCTGCGCGGGCTTCTCTCTTCCTCCCTCCTTCCTTCTGTTCTGACTGCAGAGGTCGGTGCATCCGACTCTCCCTCCCTCCCAGTGTTTCTCATCCCTTGCTTCCCTTTGTGGACGTGGGTCTTGCCTCTTAAATTCCTGTGCTTTGATGTCTCCCTCTCACCCACTACCCTGGATCATTTGTCGCAGTCTTGACGTGATGGGAATGTGCTTGTAAACCATGTATCAAGTCGACTTTGTGTATATGTATGTTTATGGGGGTGGTTTATTCCTTTTGCTGGTCACTAGACCACTTTGTATGACTGTCCATGGTCTGAGCAGGCCAGGGGCTGACAGCTCAAGTCAGGCCTCTCAGCAGTTGAGCCTGTTGAGGGGACCCAGCTGCTCTTGGACAAGTGGCTGAGCTCCTGTCTGGCCTCCTCTTTTTTTTTTTTTTTTTTAAGTAATTTGTGTGTATTTCTAACTGATCATATTGGAAAAAAAAATCCTAGTATTTCAGTAAAATGCCTGTTGTGAGATGAACCTCTGTAACTTCTATCTGTTCTTTTTTGAGGCTCAGGGAGAAACTAGCATTTTTTTTTTCCAAACTACTTTTTGTCACTGTGACAGTTGTAAATAAAGTTTGAAAATGCTTTCCACTCTGGTCTAGCTTCCTTCTTTCTTTTTGCTACATTGGAGTTGAGTCCATTCGGGACAAACGTCATCCCTCACAGGCGGCCAGATTAAGGGGAGGCCGGAGTGAGGCCACTCGTGTCTGCTGGTCCTTCTAGGTTACCCCATCCATGGATTTTTTATCCCCTGGATGGATGAAAGCCACCTTTCTTTTCTTTGATGTGAGCGGTTTTCAGTTCTGGATGCACATGAGAATCACCTGGGGAGTTTTAAAAATAAACACCAGGGCCTTATCCAAGAGATTTGGATTTGAATGATCTGGAGTGGGGTCTGAGAATTAGTATTTTCTAGACTCACCTGGGGAGATTTTAATCTGAAGCCAAGGTTTGAACAATCCTTCTAAGGGAAAAGAAGCCCAGGATGTAAGGTTGATCCCAAAGGCCAGGGGGTTGGGGGGTAAGTGAGTGTTTGTACCTAGGTGTAGGTACAAAGAGATCAAGCAATAATTCAAACCATTTGAGTGCCCAGTACTTGTCAAGAGGTGGGGGACACAAATTAGCAGTAGTCTTAACCAAGCATGATGGCACTCTGGGATCCCGAGGCAGGGGGATCCCAAGTTTGAGCCCAGCTTGGGAAACTTATCAAAACCCTTATTTAAAATATAAAATAAAATAAAATAAAATAGTGGCTGAATATGCAACCCAATGCAAAGACCTTGTGTTCAATCCCCAGTATAAGAAAAACACTAGTAGCAGCCTTGGCTTTCATGGCAGTTTGTAAAATTAAATGACAAACGCAGTAAGTACAAGGCAGGAAAAAGCTGGAGTGCCCTCAGAGTGAAGGTCACTTGGGAAGGTCAGAAAGGGCATCAGGAAAAACAACAGGGAGGAATTAGACAGGGGATGGGTAGCAGGGAAAAGGGGGGTTTGGAATGCATGGGGCAATGCTTGCTTCTAGCAGGGAGAAGAGCTTGACTGGTGGGGTGGGAAGGGAAATCATGCAAAGAGGACTTCTTAGGCTGGGTGAAAAGTTTAGGTTTTATTCTAAATGCAGCAGTGAGCATGGTCTGATTTACATTTTTATACAATCTGGCTCAGTAGAAATGGATCAGAGGGGGCAGATGAGAAGCCTGAAGACTGGGCAAGAGGCTTTGTGGAGGTCAGCAGGAGCAGAAGTGGTGCTTTGTAGAGGAAATCTTGGAACATTTCTCTAACATAAGACTCAAGTTTTGTCTTTTCAGCCCTCTTCTGGTATCCTAAGCACAATGAATGTAGATGATAATCAAGTGATCTGTGCTGAGGGTGTTTCCCAATATTAATGGAATATCAGTCCATATTAAGATTAGCCTTAGTGAAGCTACTACATCTATGGACCTGATTCCCTGCAGATAACTTGCAGGATTTGTCTGTCCTCTGGTTGGATTGTCCATCTGTTTCCTTCTAACAGCCTGAGGATGGAGTTTATTACAGTGTGGACTACTTGAACATAGCCTTTCAACATTTGTCTTTATTAGAAAATCCTATGAAACTACAATCAGGCAATAAAGAGCATTATGATAACTGACATATGAGTTTACCATGGTTTCAGAATCTAAGCTTGATATACAAAATTGACTGCATTTCTGTGTATTAGTAATGAACAACAAGAAACAAAAATTTAAAATAGCATTTGTATTAGCATCAAAAAATATAAGCTACTTAGCAATAAGTCTGACAAAAGAGATACAAAACCTGTTCAACAAACACAACAAAACTACTTCTTAGAAAATTTAAGGAAGGCATATATAAATGAAAGCTATACCATGTTCATGGATCTGAAAGACTTGATATGGTTAAGATGTCAGTTCTTGGGTTAGAGGATGTAGCTTTGTAGTACAGTGCTTGCTAGGCTTCACAGGCCTTGAGTTTGATCTCCAGCATAAAAAAAAATTTCATCTTAGTTCTTTTCCAACTTATCTGTAAACTCAACATAATCGAAATATCAGTAAGTTTCTCTTTCTATAGGCAACAATGACCTGATTGTGAAATTCATATATAAGTGCAAAGGACCAGCTGGACACGGGGGTATAAGCCTATAGTCCCAGCATTCTGGGAGTCTAAAGTGGGGAATCACAAGTTCAAGACCAGCTTGTGCAATTTAGCAACTTAGTGAGACCCTGTCTCCAAATTAAAAAAAAAAAACTAAAAAGGACCTGAGTTCAATCCCCAGAACCACAGCAAAATATGAAAAAAAAAAAAAAAAAAGAACCTAAATAACACAACTTTGAAAGAAAACACAGAAGACTTGTGACTTTCTATTTCAAAACTTATTACAAAGTGACAATAATCAAAACAGTATAGTACTGGCATCAAGACAGAAAAACAGATCAATAAAAGAGTCCAGAAATAGACTCACACATATATGGTCAACTGATTTTTGACAAAGCTGCAAAGGCAACTGAGTGGAGAAAGGATAATCTTTACAGTAAATGGTGTGGAACAATTGGACATCTGTGGGAAAATAGCCCCAGGGGATGGAGATGTGAGTCTTCATTTCTGTCTCCCACTCTTTCCATGTGATCTTCTAAACAGAATAATCATTTGCTTGAAAAAACTTTCTTCATCCTGTTTTTCATGGTTGGTCAGTCTCTTCAATACCATCCCACTTTACCCCAAGCCTCCTCAAGGAAGAGCACGGGGTGACAACTGAGGAGTGCTGCTGTCACTCATGCTGTCTTTCCTTCTGGTGCTGCTCAGACACCATGTGTGATTCAGGGCCAGACTGTCTGTGTCTAGGCTCCACCATGCTCTTGTCTGGAAAATGGAGAGAAGTCAGGTACTTTCTGTGCAGGGCCATGAGGATGGAACACTCAGTTGGCCTTCCTTAGTCTCAGTGGCTATTACTAGACAGAGGTAACTGTCAGTAGAGGGGACACAGTTGCCTAAGACTGGATAGCTTTGAGGCTGTACAGCCTGTACTCTAGAATCGTGAATGTTAATGGTTCATGTGTGGTATTGCAAAGGCAAGCAGAAACACTGAAACGACACCCAGGATTTAGAGGCAGATTTATTTACTTGGATGGGCACTGATCAGGATCATTCTCAGAATATCAGACCCCCAAGCTCTAGTGGTCTACAGCTTATAAGGGATAAGCAAGCAGGAAGTACAGAAGCAGAATGCCTTGTCAATTGGGGATTGGTTTATACAGTGTGCATCATAGTGATCAGCTATGCGTCACAGTGACCAGCTGTTTCTAAGACACAGGAGCAACCAGAACTGGAACAGGAACTACTACCTGGGCAACTAAGAAACGGAAGTATACTTTTGAGGGGTGGATGGGCATTTTCTGCTACAGTATGTTCATTAGTATATATATATATTTTTTTTTTTTTGTCTTTTTGAGACAAGGTCTCACTATGCAGTTCTGGCTGGCTTGAGCTCACTTTGTAGCCTGGGCTGGTCTCAGTGTTGCAACAATCCTCCTGCCTTAGCCTCCTGGGTGCTGGGATTACAGGTGTATGCCACCACACCCAGCGTTCATCAGTATAATCTTTAAATCGGAGTATTTGTAAGACTACTCCCTCCCCTTTATTTACCTGGATAGAAATCCTACTTTGAAATGCAATTCTTTTTCAATGTTTCCTTTGCCATTTTCAGTCAGGAAAAATGCAAATCCACTCTTTTCTAGTACTGGCTGCCGCTTACACATCATACCCTCCATTTCCTCTCAGTCTCATCACACATTTGCAAATTGTGGGTTTTCGTAGCTACAGTGTTTTTGTTTTTGTACAAACTGCTTTAGCAACGCTGGGAATTATAAAGACAGTGGAATTTAGAGCCTTCATCTTTTAAATCCCATCATGGTAGAAGATCCATTATTTGCATTTTGATAGTCTTCCAGTCATTGTCCCTCCTACTTCCCAGAAAGTACTCAATGAATATATTTTTTCCAACAAAGTGGATTTTTTAAAATGTTATTTTGCTGATGACAAAGCTGAGGTTAGAAGGCTTCATAGCACACTGCTTTTAGAATCAGAAAGAGCAGGGTTAGAATCAATAGTGTGCTGAGAAGCGTAGAACAGCCAACACTCAGAGAATAAAGCTCTGATTTGTACCATCTGCCTGTTTCCATGGTGTCCACCATGGTTTATTCTGTGGGCCCATGATGAAATGGAAGCCAGGATGAAAATGCTCAGCAACTCTGGAACCTGATTCTCCCTTCTAAGCAACAAGAATGTGGGCTCAGCTTCCTTTCCTGTGAAATGGGTATAACTCAAAAGCCAGGGTGGTGCCCATTCAGAGGGCCTCTATAAATTCTAGTGCTTTGCTTCACTCGGAAAAGAGAAATAGCTCCAGAAAGTTATCTGGCACAGTGTTTTTCAAACTGAATCATGATTCATTATTAGGCTGTGAAATCAGTTTGTTGGTAGCCTACAAGCAGAATTTTTAAAAGAAAAAGAAAATCCTGATGGTGGCTCACAGTCAAAACTGAGAACCAATCTGACCCATCTGGCCTTGCAGAAAGCAACAGTTTTACTGAGTGGATCTGTGGGTGGGAGAGAGGCAAGCAGGAAAACTACCTTGGGTCCCTTCTCTGGAGAGGAAATTGCAGCGGGGGGGACTCAAGGGTAGAGCCCTGGTGGCTAGTGTGTAGGAGACAAGCCTGGAAAGGCCACGGTACTCTTGCTGTCCTCCAAGGCCAAGGTTAGGTTCCAGCCAGCAGCTGCAACCTCAGCCCTGAGGTGGGAGGGAGCTGCACCGGAGGAAGGAGCAAGAGGCTGCACAGGAAGTCCTTGCTGTGCACTTGCCGCTGCTGGAGCCCACAGCAGTACCAGAAAACCAGCCACAGCACTATCAGATAAAAATAACCCGGTCCCAGCCCTGTTGTGCAGGGGCAAGGACAGGCAAGCTGTCTAAAGGGCTGAAATGTCACCAGGCTGGAGCTGGGGTCATGCCACTTGGTGCTATAGTGGGCCTTAATTGCTAATTGGAAGGCAGTTTTCCTGCCCAGGGTCATTTGGGCTAGGGCCAAGAGTGCGGGCCACTT